CACCCTGTATATTTATATTTATTATATGAATAAATATTTTTACGTCCAATTTTAAAAATGTTAGAACACATAAACTACATAACCATACTCAACTGTCTAAATCCTGAACGCTACTCGTATGTAAAAGAAAAATTACGAAGGTAAATTTTTTTTTTATTTTAAAAATGTAACATAAAAGGTTTAGAAGATATTGCAAAAAATAGATTTGTAATTTCTAATTTTAAAAAATGAGATTATACAAAATAATAAAAAGGTTACACTGGGTTAAAATATTTAATTATTTTATATAATAAAATATTCTTGCTTTGAATAAGAGTAGGCAACCAAGAGTACATGCAATTTAAAGTTTGTTTAAAATATAAATCCCATAAATTGTTAACAATTCCATAAATATTTTAGTTTTAATTATTTTGTTATACTTAATACTTTAAAAAAAGGAGCCTAATACTGATCCCTAAGGCCCGTTATTTCCAATGCGAGTAAACTTTCGTGTTAGTAAACCTAAGATTAACTTAAACTCGGAGTTAACTTGAAGTTACGTTTTTATGGGTTTTTCCAAAGATTTTGCTACCCGAGTTTAGTAACTCTAAGTTAAGAAGTTTATCTTTATGTTGGTATCCGTGATTCTATTATTATTTTATGGATAAATTGGGCAGCCATTTATGAACGGTCTGATAAAGTGCGTTGTTTATTGAGGTTGAATTAAAATGTATATTTTGTTGCATACACAGAAAAAAGTAATCTCTTGATTTTACTATATTTGGCTTGGCTCAAATAAATTATTTATTTCGATATCTACAAGAAGATATTTATTTAGTGGGTTTATTTGACTTTTTAAACTGATATTTGGTTAGTACAAGTAAATATCTAGTTGACTTTTTATCTCAGGTTTAGTAGAAGCTTAAAGAAACAAAACCTACATCCAAACAATTTAATTAATTGCTCTAAATAAATATTTCTTTACAATTAATCAAAATAATAAGTTGTTTTAAAAAAACTTATGATTTACAACCAAATATTAGTATTTTCTTATTGTAATTAACAAGTTACTACGAATAATAAAATTTTACTTCATACAATAAAACCTGTTTCAAATAAATGCATTTTCTTAAATTAAGAGATTACTTTTCTCTGTGTACAATACCTGTATTATATCGGCAGTAAAGTTCTACTTCACTGCCGATTTTTTCTACTTTACTGCCGATTATTGACTACTTTACTGCCAATTTTGGATAAAAATATAAACATTTAAAATATTTATTATTATTAAAATATTTAATAATATTCATAATCTGGCAAAATAATTATTAATTAAATTATATCTTGTAAGGATATTAACACCACCTCTATTAATTTCTGGTAAATCATTTACTACTGGAGCATTGTTGTTTACTAAGTTAATCGCTGCCTCTTCTTCATCAGTTATTTCTGGTATATCTTCTTGCATTTCACAAGCAATATTGTGTATTGCCGCTGTAGCCACTATTAAAGCTTGTATTGTTTCAGTTTTTAATCGAAGTCCTAAAGCCAATCCCGGTAACCTTCTTTTCCAAACTCCATAAGATCTTTCGACGACATTGCGTGTGCGAATTTGTCTCATTGTACAAATTTTCTGCTATGTTCCTGGTTGCCTCAGTGGTGTTAAAAGGTAGAGCTTTCACTGTCACCAACGATGATGCAGTTTCTAAATTGTCCCCTTTCGAATGACTGCAGAATTGTAGAATTTCGAAATATTTGAGCATCATGAGTTGCTCCTGGCCAGCGGGCAACAATATTCCGTATCTTAAGATTTGCATTAGCAATAGTTTGGACATTAATTGAAAAATACTGTTTTCTGTTTCTATACATTTCAGCAAATTTTCCACCAGGGGATTGTATTTTTACATGGCTACAATCAATGGCCCCTATACACATTGGCAGCCTTGCAATATTAAAAAAATTCGTTTGACATTTAGCTATTTCCTCAGCATCAATCGGCATTCTTATATAATGTGGTCTCAGCCTAGCTATTGCGTGGATTACTCGTTTGATTGTTTTACTAGCAGTGGATATGTGTACCCCACAAAAATCTGCTACCTACTACATTTAAAAAAGATCCAGTGGCTTAAAATCGGAGGGTCATTAATAACTGATTTTCCGCTGAAAGTGCGTCATTTCTGTAAAACAAATATTTATTTTCCTTACAAAAACATTAATTTGTAAATTTAGTTATTACCTATCACTTGTATATAAAATAACATTCTCAATTTGTTCTAATAGGTCCTCAACTGTTTGGGGAGATAAACGAAACCGCTAAAAAACTCTTTACTGCCCCATTTTTCAAAATGGTTAATTCGCTCCCGCACTACTCGTTGCTTACGAATTGGGATCTATTCATCATCACTGTAAGCGTTTATATCGTATAAATCCATGATACATAATATATTATGTATTATATATTATATTATATAATATTAGAGGTATAACAGTTTAATGTTGTCAAATTGACATAAGTTAATTCACAATGTCTAGGTTAACTTGTACCTGAGCTTCGAGTTAATTGTAAAGCGAGTTAACTCACAAATTAGAGTAATCCAGACATTGAAATATAGATTTTCAAATTTAACTTTAAGTTTAGATGTAACTCGCATTTAACTCGCAGTGGAAATAACGGGCCTAAGAAAATTATAATTGGGGATACAATAAAAATTTGAATATAAAATAATAATTTAAAATTTTATATTTTTTTTAAATACAAATAATCTAACTAAAACAACATCAAATCATCAATACATCAAAAAATATAATAATAATAAAATATATGGGTGATTCTACAAAAGTGGGGCAAATTTTGACCTCATATAGTTTTCGGAAAAAATTAAACAGTATTTTTTTATGAGAACATAGATAATATAATAAATATACTGTTCCAGACCGGGCCAGTCACTTTTTCAAACAGTTTCTGAAATATCTGTGTTTTCTAAATTTGAATGCAACGGAAGTGACGAGTATATCAGGGTACTAATTAGATACATAATTTATTGGAAAATATAAGATTTATTGCCACTTTGAGCATATTATACATTAAATATCTTAAAATCAAATAATACCACACATAAGTGGCGCCTGGTGGATTTTGGGTATACCGATATCTCCACACCAAATTTATATGAGTTTATAATGACATTAAATAAACAAGTTCTGTACAAGCAGACTTTAAATTGAAGTTTGCGAAAAAAAGATAACCGAAACATCGAACATGGAACTGACGACACGGTACTGATGAATGGGATACAAATTTGAGATTATAATTCGGAATTAAGTATTTTACTGATATTTTTTATTAGTGCACAGAAAAAACGCTAGCATAGCATGAATGGGTGAGCCATTAAACCAATGGGATCTTGTAATCCGTATTCCTGAATAACAGTTTCTATAATACCAATAGTTAGTTAGCACTTGGTTTATAATCGTTTACTGTTTTTAAATTGACCACAAAAGTTATCGCTCCTTAATCTATTGATATTCAAATTGATATTTATTTGTTAGAATGGTAGAATGTTATTGCATTAAATACTAATTTGATTTATTTAATAACGTTACTATTGTATGTATACTATGTATACATTTAACGCAATAAATTCTTTGACATTTAGGCAAAATATTTCCATATTTTGGTTTAATAGTAATTAATTTAGCAAATAACTTTAGATTGCTTCAATTTTAATGCATTCAATGACAGCGCTGTTCTTGGTACTATGTTAGATTTTTTTCTGTGTGGATGCTACTTATCAACAAATCACATATAGCCTTATATAAATTACAATGAAGTATATATACGTAAGAAAATAACTACTCACGACAGTTCTGAAATTTTGACTGGAACTATACGTGCATTCACCACAACTTCGCATTGCATTGTTTTCAAGATGACTGTCGTGCAAAGGACGGGCTCTGTAGGTAATTTTTTACCAACACTTGAGTTAAAACGAGGACTTGACGTTTAAACTTCAATGTTTCGCAGGAATTTTGAATTTTAACATTGGACACAGAACTGACGGGTAAAAGTGAGTACAAAGATTATCAATTTTTTTAAAATTGCTATTATTCGAATCTATGATAAAATATGAAGAATACATAACTTAATGTTTTATAGTTTGTAGTAAAATTGAAAAACTTAAGAAAAATTTAATATATTTTAAAATAAAATCACTAAAATATTTGATTTAGGAGTTGGGACACGCCAAGGTACTGATGTTTTGAATATTTATTATGTTTTTTTACAAACGCGCTTTTGAAAAAATACATTAAACTTGGGTGGACAAGTTAAAAAAACGTGGATCTTTTGTAATATACGAAAATATTTACAAAATATATTAAAATACCTACTCTATTGACTGATGAAATCAAGTTGTCTAACTTTTGTAGAATCACCCATATTTTAAAATATATATACAAAAAAATTAATTTTGAAAACTGACTAAACAAATTAATTCTTCTTGAAAAGAGTCAAAATAACAAATTTTCCCGACCCTATGACATTTTGCATTGCCAATTTTTTTTTAAATGATTAAAAACTACTTGTCGAGTTTTAAAACTTGCTTACTTTGGCGTAAATTATCGCAAAAAATAAATTTGGAATTATAAAAATAAGATTATACAAAATAATAAAAATGTTACACGGGGTTAAAATATTTAATTATTTTATATTCTTGCTTTAAATAAGAGTAGGCAACCAAGAGTACATGCAATTTAAAGTCTCTATAAAATATAAATCTAATAAATTGTTAACAATTCTATAAATATTTTAGTTTTAACTGATTCCAGTCCTCAATATTACCCTGAGAAAATAAAAATTTGTGATATAATAAAGGGCATTAAAATTTTTAATTAAAAATAATTATATAAAATTTTAATATTTTTTAAATACAAATAATCTAACTAAAACAACATATTTTTATAACAACAATAATCAAAAAACATAATAATAATAAAAGATATTAAAATAACATTACATAAATAAAAAAATCACATTACAGAGATATTTGGATAGTTTATATTTTTTCGGTTTCTTTCAAATTGACTAATTTCTCTGACTCTTCCCAGATATCGTTGCAGAATTGTTGGTTCCAGGTTCCAGGGGGCATGGGAAAAGCCCTGCAGTCCCAGAAATGTTTTCCTGTAACTTCTTTCATTTTGTTCGATACTGCTAAATGGATTGTGGTTTGGGCGCCTTCTTCAACATTCTTAAAACAAAAAAATAAGTTGTAAAAAACAAATAACCTTAAACAATTTTAATATTTATAATGTTATTATACCTTCCCATAGAAGTACAAAATGGTTGCCCTAAAAATATTCTCCACAGTTTGCCACCCCAAAATTTTGGCACTCTTCTTATAAATATGGGTAATAACCAAACCGGGATGCAGGGAATTTGAAGTCACTCCTGAATCTTTCAGTTTCTCGGCAAAACCATTCGCTGTAATTATGTTGCACAATTTCGAGTTACCATAGACAAACGACGAACCAATCATAGTCAACTTCTGCTCTTTTGGCGGATTCAGATTGGCTAGGGATAAGTACGAGCAAAACGCAAGAGCTGAGCTGACGAAAATTATTCGGCTAGGTGCGGATTTTTTCAATAAATCTAAAAAAATTCTTATATTGGTTAGAGCATAAAACCTCCTAAACTGTTTTAAAAGTCTAAAATAATCTTAAAAAATGCTTTTATTCTTAATGCATAAATAGCGTTAGGTACCAACCTACAAAAAAAATATTTTTTCATTTTATTTCATTTGAATTAAGAAACAGACAATTTTCTGATTCTATAATTATTTTTTATTTTAATACAAAAAACGTCAAAATAGGATTTTTTACCGTGGCAGTGACAGTTCTATATGCAGTATTATTTAAAATCTAAAAATGAGCTGTGAAAATAGATGTCTACTACCTACAAAGAAAACAATATATAAAAAAGGTAAATCAACAGAAAACATGCAGGAAATAGAAGGATTGTCTTATTATTTTTTAAAAATAAATAACTTTTAATAATTTACTTTAAAAACGAAATTATGGTGGTCATCAAATAAATCAAACCAAATATCCTTAGATAATCAGGTGTTCGTAATCCAGTGTTGCCGGATATTCTAGACGAGAATGACAGATTGATAATTTTGGTTGGTAACAGTCAACATTATGGTTTTTTATTGCAAAACTTTGCAGTAAAAGTTACGAAAATTTATATAGCACTACTACAGAATGAGTGCATAAGTGAAAAAAATGCATCAATTTTTCAATGTTGCGTTATAATATATGCATTAATTAAAGACATAGGCTGTGTGGGGTGTTATGTAATTATTGTAATATATTAAAATGGGTAGTTCCTTAGGGTCCATAAAGAAGCACCTGAAACTTTTTTTTCTAAATTCTAAAGACTAAAAATAATTTATAATAACCTTTATCCCACCAAAAAGTACGCTACTGATCGACTAGGAACTTTTGGGTAATCTGGTTGCCTAATTTAATTTATTATGTTATGGTTGGTAACAATCAGCGTTTACAGATTCTGTTAAAAAAAGTTGCCAGATTTTGTTTAAATTTAGCTTAATTGTTGATATGTCATTTTGTAATGAAGGTAAATTCAAACAAAATCTGGCAACTTTTATGACAGAATCTGGTAAGTTACCATTACTTAAGTGTTTTTATTTCAAGTTTTAGGTTATGTGCTCAAATTCTAAATATCTTAACTAAGGGAAGTGCTTTTGGATTTATTTACACAAATTGAATGTTTAAAGTTTAACCTGTGAACTTGTCTTAATTTCATCTGAATGAACAGAAAGAAAAAAACCGATAAAAAAATTAATTTTGTGGTTATGGAGTTAAATAGGTACTAAATTATCTGATCATTGCTTAAGCTAATAGCTGGATGAGTAAATAAATACAGAAAGGTATTAGAGCTTTAAGGGCATAAAACTTTTGTATTTATTGAGTTTTTATTTATTTTTGGCATAAAAAATTTTTAGTAACAATTTTTTACAACTGGCAACGCGGGGGCCGAGGATGGCGCAGTGGGTTAAGCTACAGAGCTGTAAGCAATCTGCGTCTAACGGTACCGGGTTCGATTCCCGGTCACAACCTTGGGTGTTGTAGTTGTTTATTAAACAAAAATAAATATCATGAGCTGGCTAAATAGTCTTAAAAAGACTAAAAGTCAATAATTCTAAAAAAAAAATTGGCAACGCGCAGCTACTTTGTTGGTTGGTATCTAAGTACTCACAGAACACAAGTGTGTAACCAGTGGCGTATTACAAAAAGAAGAAGTCGCATAATTTTTTTTTAACACTCGTCTACAACCCAGAATTGTTTCTACATTTTCATAGCTACTAAACCTTCTTAAACATCTTGAAACTCTCATTTTTATATTTTAAATACAAGCATTTTTTATAACTTACCTGTGAGTAAATGAGTCAACAGAAACGGTCCAAAATGATTAACCTGCATAGTTTTCTGCAACCCATCATCAGTATGTTTACTTCCTGCCAATCCGACTCCTGCATTGTTAATCAAAATGTCCAGTCTCGATTCGGTATCGTTGATTTCTTTCGCAAACTTTCTTACAGATTGTAATGACGACAAATCCAGATGCTTCGTCAAAACTTCCTCATTGTTTGTGTATTCAATTATTTTATTTACCGCCTTGGCTCCGTCACATTTGTCAGCTATTATAACACGACATCCTCTGGAGGCCAGTGATAAAGCTGTTTCGTAACCAATGCCTAGATTAAGGAAAAATATCTATAAAAATAGGTAAGAAACATCCTTAAACTTATAGCCATCTAAAAATACAAAAACACTACAAAGTTATTTAAAACTTTCTAATAAACAAAATAAATAATAAATTTCTTAAAACAATATAATTTACCATGGCTTCCTCCTGTTACAATAGCAGTCTTTCCCTTTAAACAAACTCTACTCCTGCATTTTCCGGAAGAAAATTTCTGGAATATTTTCAGTACAATCAGAGCAACAAATGGAAGAATTGCCGCCAAAACAGCAAAAGCGACATATTTCCAAACCCAGTAGTAATGGTAATGGACTATCATTTTAAATAAAGTCTATTTATTTATGATTATTATCTAAAATAGTAGAAAAAAATTGGTTATAAAATATTTTATAAATAAAATAAACTATGTGATTATGTTGCATAAAATAAAGGATTTCCTTTATTTCCTGTTACGATGCATTGCGTTGCAATTATAAATAAATAGGAATGAAATGTATGTACGTTCCGGTACATTTTAATTGCGCAAGAGAAAGCTGTATTATTTTAGTTATAAAATAGAAAATTTATTTTAGCGGTATTATTTTAGTTATAAAATAGAAAATTTAAGCACTAAATCTGAAGAACAAATATCTTGAAGGTTACTTTGTACTTTCCTGACCGTGCCTTGTTTGGGCGGCAGAATAAAAAGGACTAAAATAAAAATGTTTTATGATTTTGTCTTTAAATCGTTACGATAGAAGCAAAATGTTCGAAACAATTTGTCCTATATCTATTTTTGTAAACCGGATTTAGATTCCTTGATCATGTAGTTCTTTTATCTATGACTAAGTTCCACTACTAAAATTCCCACTTTAACATTTAAATACAAATAATAAAGGTTATCTATCTGTCAGGATAACGCTAATTTCTTTTTATTTCCTAAAAATAATACATTAGGTATATGTATTTTTAGTGTATAAGGGTCCTGATTATTATTATTAGTGGAGCATAGTACATAAATTTGTTTTTTGCTCAGCTTTGCGATTGCACAATTAGAGATTTTCATACAATGTAAAATTATAAAAAGTGGGGTTTAAACCGTTTGACAGATGTAGGATATCAGATAAAATGTTAAATAAAATTGTCTTTATATTCTGAAAATCATTAATTTGTGTAGATTAAGTATTCGTTTTATAAACTACTTAAGCTACGGTCGTGCATAATTAAGCTCCTAACACAAAACTTTTTACATACTGTACTATACAATACTGTTTTACGAATTATTAAAAAGACTGCGATATTCAAATCACATAATATTTTAGAGATTATAATACTATTTTCATTTTAAAAAAACATGTTTTTCTTCGAAATGCAGTACTGCATGCTTACGTACCTACTTATTTCGTTTCAACTGGAATTTATAGACCATGGTTGAAACAACAGAAAAGTGTATTTTGACATTGAATAAAAAAATATAGGTAGTTCGTTTTTTTTTATTCAAAATTTGACGTCAAAAATTTTGCGGTTCAGTTGGCAAATTCTAGGGACCCTAAATTTATAATTGGCGACATTGAGTTTATATATAAAAAATATTCTTATATATATAGCAAAAATAATTTACGGACAAACGGCGCCTCATACTATACAGCATAAGTAGTACTTATTAAGTACGGTTTTGATTCGAATTTAGACCTAAACGACTCAATGATTTTATGTAAACCTATTTTCATTTTTATTTTAATGTTCCCTATCAGCGTGAAAAAAATTAATTCCATTATCGAAAATATGAAAAATGTTTTAGATACCCTACATTAGGCTGGTTCTTATTTAACCGATGTCGCTCCCTTATTGGTTTTAAAAAAATATTTAAAAAAATTATGCCAAATTTGAATGTTTTCCAGATAAAGGATTTTTGCCTTTAATTTTTTAAAATTACTAATAATCTATGGAAAAGTATATTTTTTTGAGAAAATGTAAAGGACATAATTAATAAAAGATTCTAATTTTTAGAGGAAATAAACGAAAATTAAGGCACTTTTAAACAACAAAAAAATTATATAAAGGGTGTCCCAGAGAAAAAGGAAACGTGCCGAAAGTTATGCGAACTCACATACTTAAAAATTAAAATTATCTATCGCAAAGGATAAGCGAGAAAAATTAAATACGATAGCCAATCCCATAGGGAATTCTTTAAATTGCTATGAATATAATAGTAATAATTGAGAAAAGTAAAAAAGACCTACATAATCTCTTGTTTTTTGTTTAAAAGTACCTTATTTCCCCTTCATTTTCTCAAAAAATTAATTTTTTTTACTAATAATTAACGATTTCTAAAAAAATTACGTTATAAAGCAAATATCCCCTATAAGGAGAACTATATTAATCCTCTATCTGAAAAACTTCTCGTTATTACAGGCAATAGAAGAAAATAAGTTTGGCATGATTTTTTTTATATTTTTTAAAAACCAATGAGGGGGCGGCACGATTAAAATACATTAAATAAGAACCAGCCTAACCCTACATACAATATAATAAAATACAATATAATAAACTTAAATATAAACCCAAAACTTACCTAAAAAACAAAAACAATTTTCACAATGTTCTTCTCTTAATATCTCAATCTTAAAGATGATCACTGGCCACCGTTTGCACAATTAATGAAGAGGAAGAAGTTGGCGCGAAAGTTTTATCAAAACGTTTTAGAAAGTGCCGTTGGGAGAGAGAAACGGAACATGTTATCGAATCGTGAAAAGTGCACCGGCCTATGTAAAACGTAAAATTTAATATTAAACTCGACTTTGGCACTTTCATTGAGCCTCGAGGCGGCCAATGGCTCCGATGAGATGCTAAAGAGCCAATGTCAATAACATTAAGTAAAGTAGGAAACTTAAAATATAATTTGTATGTGGGTAAATGTTACATACTTTATGGCGGCATGCCTTAGCATCCACAAATAAATCAATTTAAATAAAAATTGATATAAAACTGATTATTTGGAATTATTATTTTTATTAATATTTGGTCTAAAATATAAATATCAGCTTTGCTGCTTTTTAGACCCTTTTGTTGTGAAAATGCATACATAAGTACTATGTAGATATGTTTTTTTAGTGTAAAACTATAAAATTTATATACATCCTAACAACAAATAAATCTATTATTATTATTATTATTATTTTTATATTAAATTATTATATTAATTACAAAGATTTCATAAATTTAAAACCCTTATATTGTATTATTTTTAGAAAATAAGACGAAACTGGCATTAAACTGACAAATTCATGACCTCAATTATTTGACTGCATTTATTATTAAAATGTCACGCAACATTTAAAATAGTATTAAAAATTACATTACATTCATTCGTTTATATCTTGTTTAGGTCAAGTTTTATTTTTTAACACAATAAATGTATTAATTTATTATAGGAGAGAAAATGCAGGCTATTATTCACAAGGATAAGGTTTAATCCGAGTAACCAATGCCCATTTTATAAAATGTAATATTACGCATTTTCAACTTTAATTAAGTAATTTTTACTAAAACCTAACAATATTTATTTTAACCTCACTTCCTCTCGATTTTAAAGATCATTAAAGTCGCCTCTCGTATATATAAAAAAATCTTTTAATCAGGCCTATAGGCGGTTACCAAATGGTATAATAATTATTTTATACGAAAAAAAAAACAAATAATGCCAATCTTATGCAATAGAAGTAGAAAAAATAATTTAGCTATTGTGTTTTATTTTTATTAAAATCCTAATTTTACTTTGAATGAAAATTTTACATTGAAATTTAAAGAAAGTTTAGCTTACCAGAGCATAGGACTTTATTGTTTTAATAATTATAACTTTAAGATTTTTAATTTTATTTTTTACAATTTCTTGATTTTATACATTATTTTACATTATTTCAGATTTGTCCCGAAAATGGAGCATTCCACCTAATAAAGGATATTAATTTGAATATTAAAAAATTGGCAAGTAGCTTTCGAGTTACCAACTTATTTACTTATATAAAATAATTTAAATTTATTTTGTTATTTTGTTAGTACCGGATGAAAAATAAAAAAATATGTTAATAACTAAGTAAAAAATATATGTGTACCTACGGAAAGAACTGTTTTGGTATTATTTAGCGTACGTATACGTATGCTGTTTTAAACAGCGGATATTCGACTCACCCTATTATACAATATTGCAAAATATGTTCTGGTTTTACAAATAAAGTAATCAGTGCTTAAGTTTTAAGTAACTTCTTTCAAAGATATAGATAATTGTAAAAATCTGTAGATACCTAATTACTTAACAAAAAAACACTTTAAATAATTTTTTCTACCCCTACCTTTAAAACGCCTATTATCGTACATGTTTCCATAACACTTGGATACTTACTTAAATACATATTGACAAGCTATGGCTTTATGGCGCTTTAGTCACAGGCTGAAGTTAGCACCAGGTTTTTAGTCAAATAATACTTAATTTGAAAATTATTGTATTATCTTAAATTAAGATTCTTAATACAAAAATATAAAAGTATTAAAAAGTTTCTCAACGCCAATATTTAAAAAGTTTATATGCACGCAGTAAACTAGATCTAACTCATCTAAAAATTTCGGTTAATGACTCCACCGTGGAGAGCGGATAAATTTAAATCATTTTTAGACAATTATAAGTATTTGTCTTGGAAAAATTATAGTACGCAACTCTGCTAGACACTCATAAACATTCGTTCGCAAGCTCGCTTGTGACTAATTTAAAATAATACATAAAAACAAATTTTTACGAAAATAAAAATATTTGAATGTGCACTGTACAGTATACAGTATCTATTAAACAAAAGAAATAATAAATATTTCAATTTATAAATGTAATGTTTATTAATAACAAAAAAATTTAACATAGTATGTATTACATTGTATTAAAGGTTTAATTATTTAAATAATTTGCATGGCGTTTATAAAACTTGATACATACCCACTAGGGTGTCCCTTATTTTTATTTTTTTTACGCATACCCTCTAATTATATTTATTACTTGTTTATATACTCCCAGTAAAAATTTCAGCTCATTCTATAAACGGGAACCCGTGCCGACTTGCATCTGAACCCTCCGTTAGGCGCGCGCGGTATTTTGTAACACGAAACACTTTAAAAAGAAGATATACGTCATGAATCATGACTGTATTTTCCTAATGATTTTATTAAATATGATTACTTATTAATATTTTGCTTTTGTTTATGTCATTTGTTTCACTAATTTAGTTGATTTTATCCCTTAAATATATTAATATACTAATTAGTATTGCTAAAATATACTGTTATATGAAATTTCAGCTTTTTATAAGCATTTCTTTTCTTGATGTC